AAAGAAGAGAAGGAGGAGAAAAAAGAAGAGAAGGAGGGAAAGAAATGATCATGGTTTATTTGATGGAGATGGCCCCTATATATACATCTATTTGAAATTAATAATGCTTCCGACCTCATTGTTAACAGTATACCATTGTAAATAAGACGCATCCATATTAAAGGGTGTATCAGTAATGAATATGTGCTAAATAGCATTACTCATTTGAAATTAATGAAACAAATTATGCATATTCTTGAGATTCTATGCGCGTCAATTATTCAACTAAACATTAATAACGGTTGTGGAGTGTATGATTTTTCTTTGAATATGATGTTATTTTGTTTTCATGTTTTTTACGTGGAGATAGGATTTGCACTGGGTATCTCTTCGAACAAACTAGAAAGAGAAGCACTCCCGAATTTAATTAAGGGGCTTTTAGATCTAGGTCTAAATGTTTTTGGACTGAGTCCAGTTATCTAATTACATATTTTGATATCAATTTTGCCCCTTCAGATAAAAATATTTAATTTCTTTAATTTTTTTAATCATTTATTCAGTTTTTAAATTTTGAATATTTAAATACTCAAACTAAAATATTATCTAGTAACTACCTACTATTTATGAAGAAAACAAAACCGATATAATCTAGTAACTACCTATTATATAGGAAGAAAGATGCTTTACACCTACAAAGCATATATAATCTACCTGCAAAACAAAAATAAACTACCTATTATAATGGAAGAAAAATGCTGGGAACCTACATGGCGGAACATAGAAATATAAATGATATAATATACCTCCATTAAAGGAACGAATTTGGAGGGAAGAACACAAAAATATCACCCATGAAAAGAAGGGACAAAAAAGAGAAGGATTGATTCCATGATCTAAGAGGGAATTGTTTGGAAGAAGGAAAATAGGAGGGATGAAATGGACTGGGGTTGAGGTGATTATATGGCTATAACTAATCCTACAATTAAGGGATTAGTTAAACCACAAATAATTCCATAATTAAGAAATTATGTGTATTTACTACAATTCATAAGCCTAAGGGGTAAATATGGTACAAACCACAAATAAGCATAAGTGGAATCTCAATTATTAGACCTATTTCAATGAAATGGACTAATCCTACTAATGACTCACAAAATTGAATCTATATCAAGTTATCCCTTTAATTAATTAATTTAAGAGGCATAACGCTGATACAAATAAATCCATGCTCATCATACAAAACATGTCTAATGGCAAGGTAATGATACAACATAGAATCCCCTGCATGCCTCTTATTAATTTATTTATGTAAATCCCATCTTTCACCGCTTTTGAATTCTATTTCATATACGCTGTCAGCTACAAGAAAATATTGATGAATTCTTTAATAGTTAGAAAGAGTGTTTTCTTTGCTACTCATCATTTGTCATATTTTCTCACGAACCTATACTAAAAATATAGATGACAAGTCATCATAAGGCGGGTAGAAAAATAAGGTGGATAATTAGTAGTACTTGCATGTACAAGAAAACAAAATGTCATTTAGAATCTCTTTCGCCTTTGTACCAAAAGCACAAGCACCGGAGACCATCAGCCTTCCCCCTTCCGATTCAATGGAGATTTCCCGACTTTCTTTCCCTGAAATCAATCGAGATAATAAACCCGGACCTCTACCCCGTATCTACGTGAAAATATCTCTCTCTCTCTCTATTTTTTTTTTTGTTCATGTGAAGATCTCTGTCTCTTCTTGGGTTTTTCTTAATTTTGGCTTCTCCTTGCCGGTTGTGCAAGGTTTTGGTATTCCCCAGTCTTCACCAGGTTGTTCTCCTGATATTTGGGTCCTCTTTTTCTAACTATAAAACAAAATTTGATTTGCTTGCACCAGATTAATGCCTAAACTCAGTTACATCAACGTCGACTTTTATAAATATACTATTTTTACTAAAAATATTTGAAGCTACACTCAGTTACATCAACATCAACTTTTGCTTGCTGACACCACATTCATTTATTTTTAATTTCCCTTGATTCTTTCCTTAATGTCCAACTTAGCGCGCATGTAAAAGTATTAGCAGACAACAAATTTAGATTACTTTTGGGATCTTCCAATCAAAACAAGAATAAAATGCCTTAATGACATGATTTTTTTTTTCTTTCGGGAATTGTATACGGTGGTCATATTTTTGCCCTAGTTGAGAAGAAAGTAACTAAAATTAAAAAATGGTCTTTATACATGATTATGATGGAGTCATATGAAAAGTAAGTAGAGTAGTACGTGCATGGGACAAATAAATATTAAATAATGTTGTGAATGAAACAAATTTTCCTCATCATACTCCATACACAGGCATTAGGAGTACGAGCATATCATAGGAAGCGCTGTGAAATCCAGGGTGTCCACTAACGAAAGAAGACAACTGTGTTTGGAATGATTAGTAAAGATTGCAAATTACAACAAAATAATTAGCGCATATTGGCATGCATGTTGACGTGCAATCAAAAAGAGCAAGCTATGTATCAGACAAATAAAAGGGCGACATAATGCCAAATGAGTGTTTAGGTCGTATTAAATTAGTTTGGATTCGGGACACATATTTTTTACATATATTTTGGCGCACACTTTTATGAGACCCACTATGTAATGTATTTCAACGATCCAACTGTTTATCTATTACATCTTCTTTCAAATATCATCTCTATATAAAATCACGCAAATCCGAAATCATATGATTGTTGGATTCAATTTAGTGTTTCTTTGTAGAACCGTATTCGCTCATTTTCTTCACTACATATGAATTGTTTAATGATTTTAGATTTGTCTAATCTTCTGCAAGAATTATCTATGAATGATATACTAAATACCAAATTTAATCCAATAGTCGTATGGTTTCTTATTTTGGCGATTTTTCGTAGAGATGATATTTGAGGAAAAACATAAATGAGTGATGGTTAGATTGTTAAAATATATTACAAAGTGATTTTCACAAAACTATGTCAAAATGTGTGTCAAAAAAGATGCATCTCTGGATCCTAACCCATATAATACATGCTTATAAGTGTTTTTACTAAAATTGCTTTTTATTATAAGTATGTTTGAAATTTTTATTAAAAGTTAAAATACTTAAAAATCATTTGAAGATGTTTCATGAAGAAAGTTTTATGACTTAGAAACACATTAAAGTTTGATTAAAAATATACTTGTAGGTTCACCATAAAGTGTTTCTACAACACGAAAGCACTTTACTTTTTTCTTTTCTACCAAACTTGGTAAAAAATATTGTAGTTGTCAAAAAGTGTTTTTTTCTCTTCAAGCGGTTCCAAACAAACCCTGAGTTTATGAAACCTTATCTCACTGCCATTGATTGACATTTATATGAAAACCAAGAAGTACCGTTAATCAATATTCATATGAAGACCAAGAAGTAGTGACCAATATCAAACAGTCACGGCGATCGGCATTAAAATAAGGGGTGTGATATCTACACACATTTTTTTTGTTTTCGGCCGTCGGATCGGATGAATTGAAGAAGATCAACGAACATAAATTAACAAGGGGTGTGTGAGAAGTAAAAATGGATGTGTGGATAGCACACCCCTAAAATAAAATAAACCATCTTAATTCTTCAATAATCTCACAAACAACTTCTCTACCTTGAAAGAATTATAATAATATTAGATAACAAAAACATAATATACTTGATCTCCAAAAGAAGGAAATTTATATCTCAAAAGAAAATAAAGTAGAAATATTCTTTGTTAACCTAAATTATTTCCCCTTCTTTTTTTCCACCATATTTGTGAAGATATAAATTAACCACATCCAATAAGAGAATGACATGCATACATTAACTCAATATAACGAATTTACTCTTAACATCGTGAGGAGATCACATCAGACCTTAAAGGGCTAAGCATCTGCCTGCCTTGTAGGTCTTGGGTATGCATGTCAAGGCGTAGCGGGCTCATAATATTCCCACAACTGCCATCGTGCCTTCATCGGCTCAAGAAGGCAGGGGTTTACTCTTCAAAGTCTCGCTTGCATGTCCTACACGGCGCATCAGCCTACCAAGTAGTTTGCGAAATGTGGTTTGCACCACACTAGCAGAACATAGTGGTTTGCTTGAACATAGTGGTTTGCACCACACTAGCAGAACATAGTGGTTTGCTTGACTGTCCCTCCAATAAATAATCAGTTTAAACAGGAAATCGATAATCACAATTTACTCACTATATTCAGTTTCTCTCAAACTTTTTCTAACTTAGGTATCAGAGACCCTTTGTTAAATACCGTTCTCATTTTTTCTTGAATGTTTGCAATTAAGCCAATAATATTATTGGTTTGCAGGTGTGATTGCCAATCCATATTGAGACGAAATTTGTATCCACACTACTTGGGTGCCTAAGGTCAATTGACCGGATTACTTGATTGGGAAATGGCACTTTCTTTTTTGCTAAGATTAATCCTCATATATTGATTTCTTTTTGACCAGCTAGTCCATATTGCAAACTATCAAATTAACAGTGGAAGGTTTTCCAACCCAAAACGTAATGCATTATCTAACTCAAGCCTGCGGTCAGCTCACGAGTCAGCTCACGTAGTTCATGAACACGTACATTGAACCTATATGCTCTCCCTATGAAGATTATGAAAGCTTCAATGCAATGTGTTCTTGAGAAATTTACACAGACTGTATACAAAGAGAAAGAGAGAGAGAGAGAGAGAGAGAGAGAGAGAGAGAGAGAGAGAGAGAGAGAGAAAGAGAGTAAGAGAGATATTTTGATTTCTTGATTGTCAAGTTATGGTTACAATTGTTGTTATATAATCTTCCTTTTACTTAGCTGCTAATCTTCCATCTCCTTATCCCAACTATATTCTAACAACTTATAACAGCTCAACCCTTTAATCTATTGAAAAGTGTCACTTGACCCTTGATCTTCTCTTCACTTGTATCTTCACTTGGATCCTTATATCCCCCCTCAATCGAATGCTGAAGAGAACTAAGCATGAGATTGCCACAGTGCTAGTGAAACAAAGGAGCTGACAATCCTTTTGTAAGTATATCAGCTGATTGGTCCGCAGAGGAGACATGTTGAATCTGAAGATCTCCTCGAATGACCCTTTCCCGTACGAAATGATAATCGATCTCGATGTGTTTTGATCGGGCATGAAACACTGGATTAGTGGAAAGTGCAATCGCTGAGATGTTATCACAATAGATCAGTGGAGGATTTGAAAGAGAAATATGTAAATCACAAAACAACTGTCGAATCCAAGCCAATTCTGCAGCTGTAATGGCTAAGGCACGATACTCAGCCTCTGTGGAAAACCTGGAAACAATGTGCTGCTTCTTGGATGACCAAGAAATTGGATTTGAACCAAGAAATATAACAAATCCTGAAGTAGACCGACGATCATTGGGATCCCCAGCCCAATCTGCATCACTGTAGGACTGTAAATGGAGTGATCCTGGCGTGAACTGAATACCAAGGCTTGATGAACCTTTGAGATATCGTATGATTCGTTTAACCGCAATAACATGAGACTCCATAGGGTTGTGCATAAACTGACATGCTTGATTCACTGAGAAAGCAATATCGGGTCTAGTAAATGTGAGATATTGAAGGGCACCAACTATGCTTCTGTATTGCTCAGGGTTATGGTATGGTTTGCCATCGTCCGTAAGTAACCGATGATACGGTAAACAAGGTGTAGCATAAGGTTTACAATCTTGCAAGTCAACCTTCGCAACTAACTCATTGATATACTTTGTTTGAGAAACAAATAACCCTCCTGAGGTATAACTAATCTGTAGCCCCAAGAAATAATTCAGTTGGCCCAAGTCCTTCATATCAAATTCCTCTATGAGACCCTTAATCATAGATGAAATAAGTTCAGAGCTACTGCCAGTAAGTATCACATCATCAACATAGAGCAAGAAAACTACAGTACCTTTGGATGAATGTTGAACAAACAATGAGGGATCAGCATGAGAAGCTTTGAATCCTAAGCCAGGTAAAAAGCTTGTAAACCTGTCATTCTAGGCTCTAGGAGCTTGTTTAAGCCCGTATAGAGATTTTTGTAACTTACACACATAATGAGGAGGATGATCTGCACTTTGAAACCTTGGAGGTTGTTCCATATACACCTTTTCTTGAAGAATGCCATGCAAAAAGGCATTTTTTACAACCATTTATCTAAGAGGCCAATTGAACTGTGCAGCTAAAGCAAGAATCAGTCTTATAGTAGTAGGCTTCACCACAGGGCTAAAGGTTTCACCGTAGTCAATCCTTTCTTCCTGACTGTATCCTTTCGCAACAAGCCGTGCCTTATATCGAGCAATACACCCATTGGCATCCCTTTTTAATCCGATATACCCATTTACAACCAACTAGGTTCTTACCAGGTGGCAAAGGAACCAGGGACCAAGTCTTCTGAGTATGCAAAGCACTAATTTCTTCTTTCATAGCTGCTTGCCATTCTGAAACATGTGAAGCTGCCTTGAAGGATTTTGGTTCTGTGATGGAGTTCGAAAAAAGAGCTTAAAGAAGCAGAGAGAGCCTTTCTCTTGAAGATACCATTTTTAGATCGTGTTTGCATAGGGTGAACATTCATAGGCACATGTAACACAACTTGCAAATTTTCATGTTGAAAATCAGGATCCACAGGAATGGGATGATGTGTAAGAGAGGCAGGGTTATCATTGAATGACTGTGGAGATGAAGAAATAACATCGGAATGACTAGATGCAAGTGTATCTAAGGACTATGAGGCTTTGGATGCAGTCAAGGATTCTGAAGCACTAGATGAATGCAAGTTCAAGGAATCTGAGGTTGTAGATGAGGATGAATGTGTATGAGATGCAGGGAACACAACTTGATTTCGTAAGGATATAGATGATGGTGAAATGTTGTGAGAAGACATATTTAAATTTGTAAGTGATGACACTAGGGAAGAAGACAATGATGGTGCATGAGGATATGGAAAACAAGTTTCATCAAATAGAACATGCCTAGAGATGTATGTTCTTTGAGTGACCATGTCTAGACAAATGAACCTTTTATAGTGATTTGCATATCCCAAAAAGACACAGGTTTTAGTTTTTGGTTGCAGTTTGGAATGATTATATGGTTTAAGTAAGGGAAAACATGCACACCCAAAAACTTTTAAATGACTAATATCTGGAGTTTTATGAAATAACAATTGATATGGAGATTTCATTTTTAACACAACTGAGGGCATTATGTTAATCAGGTATGTTGCTGTAGCACAGGCATGAAACCAGAACTTAGATGGTAAATGGGCAGTTTGAAGTAAGGTAATGGCAGTCTCTACAATATGCCTATGTTTTCTTTCTGCCAAACCGTTTTGTTCTGGGGTGTAGGGGCAAGATCTTTGATGTAACATGCTTTGATGTGATAAAAAATGTTGAAACTTTGTGCTAACATACTCACCCCCACCATCACTTTGTAAAACTTTTCGTTTTGCAGAGAATTGAGTACATAGATAAGCATAAAATTGCACAAATGTTGTAAAAACCTCTGATTTATTATTTAAAGGGAAAATCCATGTGTATCTTGTACATTCATCTATGAAGGTTACATAGTACCTAAATCTTTCATGAGATAACAAGGGGGCAGGTCCCCATACATCATTGTGTAACACCTCTAGAGGTTGTACAGATTTAGCAACAGGGAAATGGAATTGTAGCTTTGTACATTTGCCTTCTAAGCAAGGTGTACAAATGGAGTGACATGGATCAAGTGATGTAGGGATCTTATTCTGATGTAGAATTGCAGAGGTCATGATATTTGATGGATGCCCTAGTCTCTTATGCCATAAATGTGTGTTGACAGGTTTAGCTAGACAGGATGTATGCTTATGAGGTAATGCAGATGACAGCTTCTCTTGGATGTTGAAAGGAATGGGATAATAGCCCTCTCTACACAGCCCCTTGAGTATTATTGTTCCTGTGGATTTTTCCTGAACCCAAAAACAAGTATCATCACAAATAAATCGACACCTATTATCCTTGCACAACTGATAAATGGATAATAAGTGTTGTGAAATTTGTGGAACATGGAGAACATTCTTCAATGCAAGTGTGGTATTAGAAACAGGTAACCGTGATGTGCCAATATGAGAAATAGGCAAACCTGTACCGCTTACTGTGGTTATAGTATCTGTGCCCTGATATGGAGTAGCAAGTTCCAGATTGGCTAACTCAGAGGTCATATGAGTAGTGGCTCCAGTATCAACAAGCCAGAACTGCTACTCAGGTGCAGAAGGTTGAGGATGAGAATGCATGGTAGTGAGATTTGGTGAAGGAGGTTTGCCTTGATATGAAAAATTGCCTCGATGATAGCACTGCAGGGCGGAATGACCAAATTTCCAGCAAATTTGACATTGAGTGGGGACACTAGAATTTGATGTGTGTCTTTGAAAATAGTCAGCAGCAACATGTCCCTTCTTGTTACAAATTTGACAGATAGGAACCTCGGAGGGATGCTCTGCATAGGTAGATTAATAAGGTCTTGGAGCACCAAGGATTCCAGGACTACCATTTGGGGAAGGAGTATAAGATCGAGGACCATAGTTAAAAACTCTGCCACGTCCCTTGCCATGAAAATTATTCCCTTTGTAACCCCCATAGTGATGAGAACCCTGATAGGAATTGGGAAATCCTGGAGCATTTGTCATGCCACCATGATTGGAAAACTGTTGGCTAGAGACTACAGAAGTATAACCAACTTCATGAGAATGTGATGACTCTTGATGAAGAACTAATGTTTTCCCTTTGTTTGACTGTGTACCAGCAACCATTGCAGTCCCAAATGGCAAAGAGGATGAAGAGTCAAAGTACTGACCAATGGTAGCTTCTTCTGCAATCAGTTGTGACCTGAAATCTTTAAGAGAAATACCATTTTCTCTGCCCCTTATGACACACCGAAAAGTGTTGAACTCTGCAGGAAGTCCTTTCAGCACCAGAATTATTATATCATCATCATCAAATATGACTTCTGCAGCTGCAAGATGATCCCGGGCATCTTTGATCTTTTGCAAATTTGCAGAAACACACAGTAGGTTTACAAAATAGAGGATTAGAAGAAGAAATGAATGCTTTTAATCGAAGGTGCGGAAGCACCAGATCTCATTCTCGGCGATGATACCATATGAAGATTATGAAAGCTTCAATGCAATGTGTTCTTGAGAAATTTACACAGACTGTATACGAAGAGAAAGAGAGAGAGAGAGAGAGAGAAAGAGAGTAAGAGAGATATTTTGATTTCTTGATTGTCAAGTTATGGTTACAATTGTTGTTATATAATCTTCCTTTTACTTAGCTGCTAATCTTCCATCTCCTTATCCCAACTATATTCTAACAACTTATAACAGCTCAGCCATTTAATCTATTGACAAGTGTCACTTGACTTGACCCTTGATCTTCTTCTCACTTGTATCTTCACTTGGATCCTTATACTCCCTACAATGGTCAATATTGAATTCATAAACAATTCAGTGATTACTACTAGGTAGCACCGAAATGTCAACCTCGCAACTTTTTTATGGTAGGTGATCGTAAATTAATATAAAGTTCGATAACTTTTCAAGACAACAATCAAAATCATGCAGAAATGTACTTTAAGAGGTTAATAACATTCATCTTTACACATATTAAATCCACTTCTTCCAATATAGTGATGATTATAAAGCAATTGCGATATGGCCGATGTAGTATAAGGCCGCAACATGTGTAAAGAGTTCAAAGTGATAACAGTATACCAAGCCTAACAGCTTGTGATCCTGTGGTTGCAATTGTGACAGGTGTAAGCATCTTGTAATCCTTGTAATAGCTTAAGGAGTAAGCAACCTTTTTAGTTATATACCTTTGATAACTGCCATTGTAATCTGTTAAGAAAAACTATTAATGAAAAACCACTTATCTATCTAAACTTTCTCTCTTTCTCTCTCTTCGAATACTCTTTCTTCTTGTGTAAGAATACAATTCTTCTTCTTTGCAGTTACATTTACAAGGTATCATTCGCCAGAAGAGCTTCGTGCTTGACGATTTATTGATCTTGGTTCTTCTACTTCTGCTCTACTTCTCAATTTAGGGTTTCTAATTACCATCCTCTTCTTTGTTTCTGGGTGCTTGTAATCTTGTACACAAGGTGTTTGATCTTACACCTTAAAGAATTTCACTTCAGAATCTTGCTTGGTATTCAATCATGGTGATTGCAACGCAATTGTAGATTCTTCAATCCTCAATTACTTCTTTAATTTTATCAGTTTCATCCTCTGTCTCTGTGAAACTTGATGAATCCAACTACCTCACATGACATTTTTAGATGGAGCTTCTTTTGGAAAGACATGGTGGTTTTGTGGATGGTACAAACCCTTGTCCTCCAAGATTTGATACTCAGCATTCGAGTGATTCCACTATGCCTTCCAGTGATTCTACTCTAAGAATTGACAATGATGATTACAAGATTTGGAAGATGCATGATCGGGCTCTCATGCAACTCATTACTACCACATTGTCTCCTTCTACAATTTCTTGTGCTATAGGTAGCACCAGTGCCCGAGATTTGTGGGTTCATCTTTAGGAACAATTCTTCATTGTCACTTGTGCTACAATCTTTCAAATGAAATCTAAGTTGCAGAACATCAACAAAGGTACATATTCCATTTCTTTGTATCTTCAACGCATTAAAGAAGCCCGTGATTACTTGGCTGCTGCTGAAGTTCTATTTGATGATGATGACATTGTGGACTTGACTCTTAATGGTCTGTCTTTTGAATACAATACACTGAGAACTATTATTAGGGGTAGGGAGAATGTTATTTCTATGAAGGATCTTCATTCACAGTTGCTTACTGAAGAAGCAATGATTGCTAATGTTCTTGTCACTCATTTCCTTTCTGTAATGGTGGTTAGCAATCTCTCTGGTTCATCTAAGTCTTCTAACTTTGAAGATAATCAACATTATGATAGTTCCTTTAAAAATGCTAATTCCTCAAATGGAGGTTCATATGGTTTTCAAGGAGGTTTTTATCAGTTTAATGGTTCTGGCTATAAGTCAAATTACAAAAGAAACAAGGGTAAAGGCAAGCATTACTATAATTCTCAGTCTTGATTTGGCAATGCAAAGTTTGGTAACTTCAATAACAATGCTCCTGATACTCTTGGTA